AGTTTCGTGATGATCTTTTAGAATTCATGAACGAACCTCAATAGGTTTCATGAAAGAAATGGCCATCTTAGCCCGAAGGTCTAGTACACCATTGATTAGGTCGAATTCCACGTCGTGAATTCCCTCCTGTTGCGCATGGCCAGATTTGCAATGTAGTTCAAAAAAGGATTTGATTTCTTCTCTGTTGTAAGTGACATTCTCCTTCCCTCCTAAGGCAAGATCCAGGAACTTGGCTATGGGATAAGCTATTGGCGCTGCATAAAAGTTGGGAGGTTCTATGAGCGCCCATGATGTATATCGATGTGGATCTGAGTAGTACTCACCGAAGATCCATAAGATGGCACAGATGAATGCGCTGCACCTGGCGCCTATAGCGAGTCCATAACGGACACAGATCGCTTGAGGAATAATTCTGATCGGGGCGTCAATGTGGGCGACAAAACTTGAGGAAGAAATACTACGTACTCTCTAAGGCGAAGAATGTGGTCATGAGATACAGTCATCGGGGTAGTAGGATTAGAACGCGCACCCGAAAATAACTGTCGAGGGTTTCGGGATTCATTAAGAAGGCTGGAAGATCTGTGACCCACCAATGGCCATCGTGGAGATTATGACTGCAGAAAGGCCACCTCCAGTCTATAAAGGCTTTCATTATGAGACCTATCATAATGACAGATGATCGTTTGTCGCACCATATCATCCAGAAATATGGGCAGTGTTTCGTTGATGATCTGAAAACATCGTATCGCACTTTATGATGATTGCTTGATCGAAGTTTACAAACCACGTTGCAAAGCAGTAAAACCTGTATAGGTTGAGTTACGGCTAACAATAGAGCCAGTTGAGAGCTTACCACAAGGATCCAATGACGTCCTTTGGACATTAGTTGAAGAACTATAGGAAGACGTTAAGTATTGGCATGAACGACAATGAATCCCTACACACACCTTTTGTAGCGTTTTCCTTCTCTACTGGGTTCGAAGATGAAGTGGACAAGACACGAAGATGAAGCTCGTCCAGTCCCATAAGTCCCAGAGTCAACCTAGATAATAAAAGGCGATGCGAACGATGAGAGGATCGCAAGATTATGGGGAGGAGATATACCCGGCAAACACACCCCCAGATAAAACCAGCACAGTGCTGACAAAAGCTCCGTACCATATTCCAGTGAATACAGGGCCTGGTTCTGACACGATTTGATTGTCGAGGACTGTTGCCGACATAACCACAGTTCCAGGGATCATGATCATAGTGTGCAAGAGGCCAGGGAAACGTCTTTATTCGTTTCTTTGTGAGGTCGCAAAAAGAAGGGTAAGTCAGAGCTTGGGGTAGCAAAAAATCACTGGTCTTTTGAGAATCGTTCAGATTGACACACATGACTGACATCATGGTCAGGGATGTACAGTAGCAACTCCAATAGTACAAGAAAAGGACTCAAGGAATGCTTGGTACGCATGATAATCCATTAAACGTAGCTCATTAGCCACCAGAACGGCAGTCAAAATCTGGCTTGCGTGTTTCCGCCCACGCAAGATCTGTCCTTGTCGAGCCCTAGTTCAATCCTGATTGACCGATTGTGATTTTGAGGTAGATTCGCCATAGGAACAAGGCGCTCTTGGCTTGGTAGCAGGGGAAGAGTTTTTCACGGTACTATCAAGAAACGAGCGAATAAAGAACGCCGAGAGAGAACAAAGCCATTGCTTTCGAAGTTCAGAGTTTCTTCTACTCGGTGGTGATCGCGATCCTCGGGAAAGGCCCAAGGGAAGCTACGCGCCGGTCCCGCCGAACTCAAAAATCAATCTCCGTTCAAATCTCCGACTGGCCCTCCAGCTTTCACAGTTTTGACGCCACTACCCCCTCAACTTTGAGAAGCCCCGTCCATCGGGCCAGGCTTGTGAAAAGGTATGCAACAGAAAATTCTACAAAATTTGACAGTCGTTTATCATTTCGACAAGGTTCAACTTATGATCTCTGACCACACCCTGCTGGCTCTATATCCAGTCCTGAATCCCATGTATCCCATGCCAGAGTCAAGTTGAAGTCGTTACGGACCCTCCTATACAAAGATAAGGAAGCTCTTGGCTTGATATTGCAGACATCCGAACTCTCCGGCACGTATTGGAGCTATCTTTTCGAGGATCATGGCGTCACCAAATGCCAGGTGTATTTGAGTAAGTTCGTAGTTGGTTTCTTGGCATCTAATAGTAAATCATAATCTTTGTTTGAAACAGCTGTTATAAGATAAGGAGAGAAGTAGCTATACATCGATTTTAATCAAGATTCAATTTTAAATGTTGGCGAAGGGGATAAAACCGAATTCAATGTAAATTAAAGTTTTCTCGGTATGGAGCAAACGAGGCTCTAAAGACCAATTGTGGTCCTTTCCTATTCGACGTTAAAGCAGCGCACTCCTTCCAATCGTCCTAATCATTGTCGTCCGATTCTGGCTCAAGATAATCTTTCATATCCTGGTCAGCCATCATGTTCCACCTCTCGACTTCGTTGAATTGTTGTCACGAGTACAAGGTCGAAAACCGTGTTCATCGTAAATGTGTCGCCTCGTCATTGGACACGTAGGGTCATTACATGTATGGTCGCTGTTGTAGTACCCCAGCATGTCCTTACGATAATATGAATACCCTCTTTTCTGGTATACTCAATATGCGGAAATTCCGAAAAAGTATGAGTGCTAAGGTATTGACTTTGGGGGCCCTTGTTTCGCTGATGTATAATTTATTATAACTAAAGCTGAAGCCGAATCGTTTCACCAAGTATGATGGAATTGGATCAAAGGACGCTTTTATCGTCTTTATTTGATCATTATACTCTACGCCAAGTACATAGTGGTCTTTCATAAAAGAAAATTTCTCCTCCAGTAAAGCGACCATAGATCCACAGGAGTTCAAAACATACTCCTTGCATACTCCTTGCTGTCAATTTTCTCCGTCTTGTATGACAAAGCCGAGGGGGCGGCCCACATTTGGAGTGTTTGATTGAGCTTCCTTTCCTCAAAAATAAATGTAACCACAACAACTGTATTCCATGGGGGCACCGCGGATCGAACGCGGGACCTTTAGAAAGGCTACTTCAGTCTACTGCTCTCCCAGCTGAGCTATGCCCCCAGTATCCGGAGATTCCTCTTCAGTCAACGGAGTATAGTTCGGGTTGTATGCTTATTTAGTGACGGCGCCCAAATCGTGATAAGGATAATTTCAAATTTTGCGAGAGTTCGATAGTATGTTTTGCTTGAGACGCCTCCAGGCAAAACCATCTAAAGCTTACAGCCCTTTTCATAACGATAGGCCCCTTCTTCTTGGGATGAAATAGTTGTTTGGCTGATGGAAGCATAATCCGACTTGCCACTGACGTTGAAATGGTGCGGGACGTGTTGAAAGAAGCCTCAAACTTCGCTTCTGTGACTATAAATAATAATAATAACTCGTCGACATTTATCAGTATTACCTTATCCCTGACATCTAGCCATCAAACAAACAGCTGTACTACAACAACTGGGAGGGGCCTATCGTTATAGGGCTGTAGGCACTGTATGAGATATTCCTTGGATTGCAAGAAAGCAGCCCAACGACAGTCCAATTAAAGAAAGCAATCAATCAAGTTCGGTGATGGCCGAACATCGATATCAGTAACAAACATATCATCAATGGCACTCCGCTGCGGACCCGCCGGTATCACAAACATGCCTCATTCTTCGACTTCAAGCTTGTTCTTGTTCTTCCTTTTACCCACTCTTTACGATGTCTGCGAATACACCTACCATCGATGACATCCCCTTCGAAGTTTTAACCGTCATACTCAAGGGTCTATGCCCAACTTACGCCTCATTCGCTCACGCAGCGAACCCCGACGAACGCATTGAATTTGACGCTGCTTTCCTGCATAGCGCAAAGGTCTATTCAGACCTGCGTTGCGTGTCCTCTTCCTGGTGTCAAATAGTCACACCATATGCATTTCAAGAGGGCTTACTTTCCACCACTCAGGAACTACACAGGAAAATAATTTTGCGATTCTTTGACACGTACGCCCCGCATCTGCGTTCTCTAATAATCTATGGCTCTCATCGTCACGTCCGCTATCCATATCTTCGAGTCGGAGTAGCCATCGGAAATGGACTTGGACGCTGCTCTATGCTCCAGAAGCTTCACTGTCTTGGATCATATCCCGCTTTTTTAACTAAAGCGTGGATGCGTACCCTGGCTCCGAACCTGCCATCGACCGTGACCTCGTTGGTGATTGATGCTTACCCATCCAACGGGCGTGAACTATCGAGTGCCTTGGTAGGATTAGGGCCTTCGCTTTCTCGCCTGGAGATTATAGGATGGAACGATTGTAGGGCTCACCAGGAGGCCCGTCAATTCGAACTACCACAAAAAATCAAAAACCTTCGCCACTTGATTTTGAGATCTGAAAATGGTCGATTCTCGTGCTCGTACCACATTCCAGATTTCGACAAAGTGAAAAGACTGTTCAAAAGGATTGCGAAACAAAGCCCTTTAGAATCGTTACACCTGTCTCTTTCCTGGAATCGACCAGCAGACGCCCTCGATATACTCCGTATCCGAAATTTAGGATCCAAACTTACGACTCTCCATCTTTGGTTGAATAAACTGGACAGAGAGGAAACGAATGACACGCTTACAAAGATTGCCAGCCTTTGTTGCAGTCTCGTTGACTTCGCTTATCTGTCTTCACATTTTCCATGCGAAGCACTAAATCATCTTCCCCCTTCAATTCAATCCCTCGAACTACCTGAGCAAGATTTGGGCGTCGCCATCTCAGAACTTTTAAAGTCTGGCCGGTTCCCGAAACTGCGTCGTTTGCGTCTTCGTACGCCAAATATAGATGTTGTTGTAGACGAGCATTCACTTGTGTTTCTCGTTTGTAACGACCTTGGGATTGAAGCATCTGTGGTTCAAGATTTGAGCTAGTGTTTCTTTCTTTTCAAGCCGGTTGTTTTCGTCGGCAATTCATCCTACCCATCGCGATGGAATTGCTACCTGCCACAAATTACTCAGTAGATTCTGCCGTATCACAACAAAATTAGCGTTCACGATGTCCAGAGAAACTCATTCTATACAATGAAAATTGGATGGTCCTTAAGTTTGAATGTTTCAAGCTGTCTGTCTAACCATCTAGAAGTCCTTAACACACCAAGTATTCCAGAGCATCGTCCATGGCATCCTTCGAACTAATCCGACTTTGACTCCGCACTATCCTTCTCTCTATCGTCTCACAAGTCTTCTTCTATCAAGTTCCACATCTCCACTTCACGGAATACCGGTACATTGGTAGTGGTATTAGGTGCCAATCCATGCAGAAAATATCGAAAACCATGACCGTCGTAAATGTGTCGGTATGTATGCGGACACGAAGGATCAGAATAACACTGATGTCCTGGGCTGTCACACCACCCCATGTCAACATGACTATACGGGTATCCCCTTTCCCTGTATTTCTTAATGCAAGCTTTGAAGTTAACCATCTCCGTTTTGCGATCTTGAGAACGAATGTACCGTTTCGTCGAGAGAAGGTTTTGGAAATTGAATGTCAAGTTTGGATAGGCGCAATAAATTTCGTACCCCGAGAGGAAATTCATCACTGCTGTAGAGTGGAAGCTGTTGATTGGGCCAATTGGAGCGAGAGGATAATGTGCAAATGATTCGATAATATTGACTGAGACGCCATCCCGTCCATACGCGAAAACTCTGCGGATGTGGGAAACATCGACATATTCATTTGCGGTGTCCCACTCGGGCGTTGGCGTTTTGCCGATCAGCGTCAGATCGTAACGCCGACAAATCTCTTCGATGACTTGGTCTGTCTTTCCGCCTGGGACATAGATGTCTACATCGTGTGGAATGAAAGTCCAAGGATTCAATAGGAGAAGAACAAAGGATCCAGATATAACGCTGTTGGTATCGCGTAGAAGGGGAAGTATATGCTTTGCATCGAGTCCTACGAGTTGGAAGGCCCGCTCTGTGGTTAATTTGACATGCTGGTGGACAATGTCTCTCAGTACTTGAGAGACAGCTGCGACATTGCGCAAATCGCGTAGATTGAGCTGAAATAAGATCCTTTGGAAAATTTCCAAAGGCAGCTGAGATATTATTGATGATTGGGGCTGGGAAGTCGCGGCTGCTTTTCCCGTCAGTTCAACAATAGCAACTTGTGAGTATGGACCGCCAACTCACAAGAGGTAGGGATCATCCCGAAGCTTATAATCAAGAGAGCTAGTGGTTATTATGAAGTCGTTTGAAAGCTCAGGCGCGCTCAGCGATACGAGAGAAACAGTTAGTTCACTAATGGTTCTAACTCGGGGCCTGTTGCCAGTGTCAGACAGTCAAGTGGATGGGAGTAGATGAACTTGAAGTTGAATGGATGTCAGTGTCGTGATCTGATGGCGTCTCCTAGACAGAAGCATCAGTTGTCCCCCTTTTATAGCCGATCTTATCAAAAAGAACTCGCGACATAGAGTTGTCCAACGAACAACTGCCTCGAAGTACATACGTCAACTCACATTCGAAAAAGTACAAATATCATAACACATGGCATCAAGTGGAAGTATTACTATCGGGTATCAGGACCTCTCAAACCAAATTAAAATTGTATCGTTCCGCTACCTGGAATCGCGGTACTTCCTTGGTTCCGTCCTTCATGCGAATCACATAGCGAAAGCCATGGCCATCATGAACGTCTCGAATCGTCGAGGGGCAGGATGGGTCATTCCTACAAACATGCCAATAGCCTGCGCACCATCCCTTCTCCAGATGGGTATACTGATACCCTCTATCCTGGTACTTCTTGACACACTCTCGAAACGTCTTCAAAGGAGCAGCATCATCCTTGATGCGCTTGTACCTTCTGGTGGAAAGCAAGTTGCGCCAGGAGAACGTCAGATCTGGATAAGCACAATAGATCTCAGATCCAGCCAGGTAGTTCATGACTACCGATGAATGGAAGCCACCGAAAATTGGTCTGAGGGGGTTGGAGGTGGAAGATTCGATGATGTTGACGGAAATGGAGTCCTTGTGTTGTCCGTATTTAAGAACTCGGGAGATGTAGGGAAGATCATCATAATTAGGGTCTGGTAAAGTCCACTCGGGGTTCTGGGGCTGGGATATGAGCTTCAAATTGTAACGGGCGCTCATTTTTTCGACAACGGTATCTGCCTGGTCGATTGGAACGTAGATGTCGACATCGTTGGCAACGAAAGTCCAAGGATTGAGGAGCATCAAGACAAAGGATCCAGATACGATGCTGCCAGTCTCGCCAAGAAGAGATAGCATATGTTCCGCATCTAGGCCGAGAAGTTTGAAAGCCCTCTCGATGGTTTGATAGATGTGAGCATCTACAGCCTTGCGGGTCGCTGGGAAGGCGGATGCAACCTTTAACACATCGCATATATTGAGCTGAAAGAGGATTCTTTCGAGGACATCCCAAGGCAACGGAGGTTGCGCTGCCTGTATCTGTAACTGGGGTTGCGACATCTAAGACGAGTCAGGATTCCTTGAGCGTATGCGCGATATTGGGTACCCACGTAAGACTTCGACAGATAGAGGGGGATGAAACCGACGAGACTGGAAAATTCGTCAGCGGGCCACGACTGCACGTCGTCGTTGAGGGGAAATTGAATCGATTCGACAGTCCGTGATTCTATACTCCTTTTAATGCTCATGGTTATTGACAAAGACATAATTGGAACATAATGGTTACGTACATAGAGCATACTTGAAGAAATGTTCCGCAGCCTTATCTGATCGGTCGTCAACGATGCCAACTTCAAATTGTTCAAACGATTGTTCTCTTACCAACAGCCGCGCCGGTGGAGACTTTCACCACTTCTTGGGGTGCGATACAACGTCAGAATGAGACAAAGCAAGGTCAAAGGAAGCCCCCTTACCTCCACAGAGAAGTCGAATCCAACCAGGAAGCTGAAGCTCGTCGCGTTTCGCTGTCATTGAAGAGCAGGAATTGGGGTGTTGAGAGGGTTTACGTTTATAGAGATCATAGAGAAGACTCAAGATGGGAAAATTTACCTGGACTTCTGGAGGAGATAGGAAACA